ATAAGGCTTATGCAATGGAGGATACTGAAGTATTCTTTCCAAAACTCTCTTAGGGTCAAGTGAGTGTCTGAGGTCACTTTAAAGCACCTTTGAAACATTGCTTTCGTGTAGTTTTTTTTAAAGTTTGAAATGACCTGCTGGTCCATGGGCTGGAGGAGAGGAGTGGTATTCGGGGGCAAGAACTTTACTAGGATGAACCCAAACTCCGGCAGAATTAGGTCATCCAAGTTTGGAGGATGAGCAGGTGCATTGTCCATTACTAGGAGGCACTTGGGATCCAATTTCTTTTCCAGGAGGTAATCCTTCACACTAGGACCAAACACTTCATTGAACCACTCAACGAAAATTTCCCTCGTGACCTATGCCTTATTATTAGATCTCCAAAACACACACAATTTACTCTTCATAACATTGTTTTTTTTAAACACTCTGGGATTTTCAGAATGGTACACTAGTGATGGCTTCACTTTGAAATCCCCACTAGCATTAGCACAGAACATGAGCGTCAGCCTGTCTTTCATAGGCTTGTGTCCTGGCAGTCCCTTTTCCTCCTGAGTAATGTAGGTCCTCTTTGGCATTTTCTTCCAAAAGAGGCCTGTTTTGTCACAATTGAACATTTGTTCAGGTTTCAGTCCTTCAGCCTCTATGTACTCCTTGAATTCACTTACGAATTTTGTAGCTGCAATTTTGTCCGAACTGGCAGCCTCACCATGCCTTATCACACTGTGTATGCCACTATGGTTCTTATATCTCTCAAACCAACCTTTGCTGGCCTTAAATTCACAAATATCAATGCTCGTTGCAGGCAATTTCTTTACCAGATCGTCATGCAACTGCCTAGCCTTTTCACAAATAATCGACATCATAAGATTATCTCCTGCTAATTGTTTCTCGTTTATACACACCAATAATAACTTCTCAACATCTTCGAGTACTGGTGATCTCATTTTTGTCAGCATATTTACCCCCTTTGCAACAACAGCTTCCTTGGTTTCTTTTTTCTTGGCCACGATGGAAGATATGGTTGTATGGGATTTGTTATACATCCTGGCCAGTTCAGCCACACGTACGCCACTTTCATATTGTTCAATGATTTTTTCTTAACCCTTTGAGGGTCGACAGGCCCTCTCCGAAACTCGTTCTCAGGGTCGGCCAAATTTAAAAAAAAAAAAAATTATTTTCTCTTATGAAAAGATAGAGAATCTTTTCCCGATCATAACGACACCAAAAGTTTGAAATTTGATAGAAAACTTACGGAATTATGCTCTCGCAAAGTTAGCGGTCTGGGCGATGTTTACGGATCGGCGATTTTGCCCACTTTGAGCCCCATTTTCGGCCAATTTCACTGTACTAGTCGACAAAAAACATGAATATTTCGCTAGAACTCCATTTTTTCTATCGAATGGGTGCAAGAAACCACCCATTTATGAATTCAACTATCCAGTACAGTGGTCAGAATTTAGCAATTTTGCCAATTTCACACAAATTTCAAAAGATGCCAATTTCGGAATAGGGTCCAGAATAAACAAGAAAGACATTCCTGGCACTAAAATGACATTTCCTCTAGTCATTAGTCACGTCTCAAGGCCCCTCTTATATTCTTTTGCTTTCCACTTTGAATTTTTATTCTCACAAAAAATATAAGATTTACTGTTATGCAGACTACTGCATTAGTGTAAAAAATGGTATAAATATTATTGGTGCACTTGTGAAAGAATATTAGACTCACCAGTTGACGTGTATTGCACGCTTGGCACGATTTGTTTACTTTTGAAGTTTGGTAAAAATCGAACATTTCTGCTACTTTGAGCTCAATTTCAAGGCACCTTTCATTGTAAAACCAGTCAAAATCATCTCAATTTCAGTAATATGTCTTCCATTCTATAAAATGAGACCAAGAAAACTAGAATACAACAATAAATACTATACGAAAATACACTGCAAAGTCGCTGATTTATTAAAAAAAAATGGAAAAAGTTTTTTTTTTCTCATTATGCACCGTGTGCTGCAGGATTTTTTTTAGACTGTGCACACTGACCACATAGACCCATTCTTTCATATGAAGGCCTACCAGCTTTCTCCCACTAGATTTGAGGTCGCTAGAATTTATGAGTACTAGTACGTCAAAAACCCCTACGCGTAAGACGTACTAGTACGACGAAAACCCTCAAAGGGTTAAATTCAATTGTATTTCTCACCTTCTTTACCAAAGGCTTGGCACTAGGAGCTTTCTTTGGAGCCATGGTAGCTTATTTAGCACTTGCAAGCACTAAAATGAATGGAATATTATGAAATATTTCGTATGAACACGTGAGGGGACCGTCGCTCACTGGTAAACAATGGCACACTGGCTGGGAAGGGAGGTCGAGGCGGCTCAGAGTCGTGAGTACGCGTCCAGGACGAACGACAATTAGCGAGTCAACCGACCATTTGCGATCCAATGTTTGGACTAAAACAACGCGACGATTTCCAAAAAGGACGACTATCGAGCCTGACTATTATCGAGGGACCACTGTATACCAAAAATGTTATGCACTCACCATCCGACTTAAGACCTGCACGACATACGACCACTCGACTTATGACTGTGCGTCTGGCAGCAGGGCTGTCAGGCACACGATCAGACAACAGTGTAATGTGATCCTTTACTGACAATGTTTCATCCAAGCAAGTAGAGGTAGTAGTAGTAGTAGTTATACATGTGATGGAAAAGTCAGCTGGTACATGAGACAGAAAAGTTACAAAAGCTATGGCTTGTGTAGCATAAAAAATAGGTTAGGCGAATGTATATGGATGGATGGATTGGAGAAGGCATGTTTCAGTGTCCCTTCTCTATTACATAAGAACATAAGAAAGGAGGAAGACTTACAGCACTAGTGGGCTGTAAATGTGTCCCAATCCTTATTTGTATTTCATGTATATTTCATTATTTTGTACTTTTCTGTTCATGCAGTTTCTTACATTCAAAGTGAATTCAAACACATTGTTTTGCATGCAAATGTTCTAGGAAATAACTGTTTGTGTTGTGTACAGTGTTTTTCCTAAACCTTACAGTACAAAATACAGTACTAACAGCATAAAAAGTAAAGTAAAAAATGAAATACAAAAATATTAAAATAAAATCATTACAATAACTGTGATGTTGATATACAGGAACCTTCTGGGTAGAAATGCTGACACAAGCAAGAGAGAGCAGCCAACAAAATGTTCTATTCTTACGCTAATATCAACAATAAGGCTTATTTACCTATCACAACTGATCTATTGTGACATAAGGTGAAATATGAATAGCATAGAAACATAAAAAAAATATGCCAGAAAAAATATTATCTGAGTACGTACTCGGGTATGTGCGCTCTCAGCTATTATCTCGGAAGTTATTCACCTATTTTGTGAAAACCAATCAATAATAATGAACAGATTGAAGTGATTTCCACAACAAACACAAAAGAATGATTGCTTTACAAGATTAAGATTTAATATTGGAAGTACAGTATCCCCATCGGCAATATTCTAAGGTTCAACTTATGCCCATTTTGACTTACGACCAGTTGGTTGGAAACCAAGCTCGGTTGTAAGTTGGATGGTACCTGTAAATGGTGCAAAGGTGACATTAAAACAATATCAAAGATGGTTAACACAAACCCACTACCATTATAGTATGCTTCTCACTTAGTGATGAATTCGTTTACCAATGTGGTCTTAGAACCAGAACTCCGTCGTTAAGCGAGGGGAGGCTGTACTGTATTTGTGTGCATGTATGTACTGCAAAGCTGGGATAACATGACTGAGTTCAAACCCTACCAGTAAAGCAATACTCTGGGTGCCAGCCAACTTTTATGGGTCACATCCTGGAGCTGGGGTTTGTAATGAGCTGAGGTAGATAGGATAACAGCTCATAGTCTGTAAATTCAACAGTGCAGAACCTTCTTTCCCATGGCCTGGTTTCACACCAGGCTACCATAATTGGTAAGGAAGTATTACAGGATTAAGAACTATTAACCCGTAAACGGTCCAAACGTATATATACGTTTTTTCAACATTTGAATGTAAAAAAGTAGATCTTTTTTGTTTTTTTTTTTACATTTGAAAATGTGTAAAAAAACTTTGATCTACTTTTTTTTGTTATATTTCAAAATATGTAAAAAAAACGTAGATCTACTTTTGTAGCACTACACATGTGAACGTAGATCTGCTTGGACCGTTTATGGGTTAAGAAGCACATAGATAAGTAAAAATAAGTGTAATGTACACTGAGTGTGAGAAGTTCATAAGATTTACTTGTAATCTTACATGTTTAACAGAAAGTAAGAAAAAACCAGCAATCCTGCAAAAAAAAACAAAAATGTTTAACAGGATTCCATTTTAAGAACATAAAGGAGGAACCCTGTTGCAGGCCTGTTGGCCCATACTAGGCAAGTCTTTCACAAATCCATCCCACTAACAGAACATTTGCCCAACCCATTTTCAATGCAGCCCAAACAAGCTTTGATATATCTATTAACTAATATGCAAGTCCCACTAAAATCTAACCCCTCTCACTCATGTATTTATTCAACCCAAAGTTTTAGCTTCAATCACCCTACTAGGCAGACTGTTCCACTTATCAACTACCCTATTTCGAAACCAATACTTTCCTATATCCTTTCTAAATCTAAATTTATCTAATTTGAATCCATTATTGCAGGTTCTGTCTTGGAGAGATATCCTCAAGACCTTATTTATATCCCCTTTGTTAATACCCATCTTCCACTTTTATACTTCGATCATGTCTCCCTTCATTCTTCGTCTTGCAAGTGAATGTAATTTAAGGGACTTCAATCTTTCTTCATATGGAAGATTTCTAATGTGATGGAGCTATAGTAATTTCCCGAGTGGTTACCACTACCTGTTAACAGTTTTCTGTGGAGGGAAGGGAAAGAACAAATATTCAGGGGACTCAAACTGTATAATTACATAAGATGGTAAAATTTAAAAAACACAGAAATATGGATCCCTACCTTCACTCTTTATGTATTTCATGCTTGTCTCTACTGGGATGACTCTGGAGCGGTCTTTGGTAGGATCACGTTCCTCCTGCACCTCCCCTTCCTCACTGGCTTTGCACCTTAGTCTTGTGCTGGTAACCAGACTGCATCTTACAGGATTTGCATCAATAATCTGAAAGTACCGTGGTTTAAATTTAAACATAATGATAAGAGGGAACAATTTTCTGGGTTAATGATGAAAACAGTTTTATGACTTCAACACTTTACATTTGACACCATAACTTGCTTCTACATATAGTGTCTGGGCTTTACATTACTTCCTTCTTTAGGAGGATAGGCCTCTGCCTTGTACATAGGTGCAATGGACTTCCCTCTTTTTCTTTCTGTTTAGGGTCATTTTTTTCTCCTTGTTTGGTCGGCATCCCAGATGCTGACCAAACAAGCTACCCTCTATCTCCAGGCCAGCCCTACCCTGCCCTCATTACCCATCTGTTACTGTTCCTGCACTGCATGATGGGATGATCATAACTGTCCCTCTTGGAAGGTAGTTCTAGTTTCTTGGACCAAGAGCACTTCAATAACATCAAGGCATTTCCCTTGAAGGGAGAGGGAGGACAGAGGCTCAATATCATTCACTACTGCCAGAATGTGTTGCTTACCAATGTGAGTTAAGATATGAGCCTCAAATCAATGGTGCCCAGTGTATCAGGACCCTAACATTTTGAAGTTTCACAAAATTAAAAAAAAAAAAAAAATGATAAAAGACCTTAGAAAGTAACAAAAATTGCCATTACCTTGAAAGGGAGTGAGAGGCTTAGCAGTTGGCACAAAATATCCCCAATGAAGTCAAAGACTGCAGCGAGTACACTAAGGGACAATTCAATAAGCATAAGGCGAGATTACCAACTGACCCCTGACTGTCTTCAAGAGGAAGCTGATAAGTTCTTCAAGTTACTTCCTAATCAGCTGGGCTGTGGTGCATATGGTGAACCATGTGCAGCTAGCACCAACAGCCTGGTTGATCAGTTCATCCATCAGTAGGCCCAATCTGGGACTGGACCATCGGGGTATTACCCCCAACACTGTGTCCAGAAAATGCTCAGGTAGTGTAATCCCATCAGAAACCCTCAGTTTGATCCAGTAGGGTCATTACATTCATCAGAGACACTAAACCCATAGCACTTGGGTAATAGGAGGCAATCAGATTTGATCCAAGGAAAGAGAAGATAGCTCTAATTCCTGGGATCAAGAGCCCTTCACAAGCATCATGACACTTGAAGGGTGAGACTGGAGCAAACAGGTTAGTGTCAATCAACAACTGCCAAGGCAATTTGTAGCCATTTTGAAAGGCATAAATTGATTAATGAATCTCAACACGGTTTTATCAAGGAGTGTTCCTGCCTTACGAATTTACTATCTTTTTTCACTAAGGTATTTGAGGAGGTAGATCATAGTAATGGATATGATATTGTGCATATGGGCTTTAGTAAGGCTTCTGATAGAGTTCCACATCAAAGGCTATTGAGAAAACTTAAGGCACACAGGTGCTAAAGTAGAATAAGTTCACAATTTTGCCATTATATTCCAAAGCTCATTTATTTGATTACCACTTTATTGTTCACCACAACTTATATTAGTCCCTTTTATATTATAATTTTATACTATAATTCTAACTTTAAAGAATTACCTTTATAGTACTACCTACTATCATATTCCCAAGCTCCATTATTTGATCATCACTTTATTTGTATTAGTCCCTTTTATATTGTCCCCTTTATTTTAGCTTAAAAAAAAAAAAAAAAAAAAAAAAAAAAAACTACCTTAGCTCATTATTTTACATTTGTTAAATAATTCAGGTGCTATTGTTTAGCTTAAGACTATTTACTTTGTTTTATACTTAATTCTAACTATAGATTCACTACAAATCTTATGATTACAAGCATTGATCCTGATACCAACCTCTTATTTAATGACTTAAATGAATCAAACAGTTACTGTAATTACTACACTGCAGAACAATCAAAGGCACTTCTCAGTGCCAACAACAACATAACTATCTTTAACTACAATATCAGATCTTTAAGCAAGCATTACGATGACCTCATAGCATTACTAAATTCCTTACATGCCAATATGTCCATCATTACACTAACTGAAACCTGGCTAAAGCCTGATAGTACAGATGTCTATGCCATTCCTGGTTACACAGCCATACACAACTGTAGGCCAGACCAACAAGGGGGTGGCACAGCCATATACTACTCAGACCAACTAGAATGTATCACTAATACTTGCACAAGGGATGAACATGGGGAATATATAATAGCCAAATTCAAATCCAAATACCTACAAAAACCTCTCACATTGATAAACATCTACAGAGTTCCACAGTCAAACATTAGCCAATTTAGTCAAAACCTAGGAAGTATGATAACTGATGCACGCATGAACAAAGATCACTTACTACTCTCAGGTGACTTCAATATATAAATCCCTGCAAGACCAGGACCCACACATTACTGAATTCACAAACACAATGAGTAACTGTATGTTGCTACCAACAGTAACAAAACCTACAAGAGTTACAGAGACTAGTGTTTCCCTACTTGACCACATCTGGACCAACACCATATCCCCTTTAAAATCAGGCATAATTACAGATAATACCACAGACCACTACCCTACTTTCCTCATAACAACTCTTGGTAAATTACCCCAAGACATACTAAAGTCACCTTCAGACTTCACAATGAGGCAGCCATTAATAACTTCACAACAGCAGTAGCAAACATTGACTGGCACACTGAGCTAGAAATCTATACAGATATTGACGAATGTATTAATAATTTTCTAAAAAAGACCCAATACCTCTATAACAAGCACTGCCCTAAAAAAAACTAAACAGATGACAGCTAAGAGACTGAACAGTCCCTGGCTAACACCCAGCATTCTCAAATCCATAAATACAAAACACCAATATGAAAAACAGTACAGAATGGGTCACATAACCAGAGACCAAACAAAACGTTACTCGTCAATCCTAACCAGCCTGATAAGAAGGGCAAAAAAAATTGTATTATGAGAACAGATTATCCAACTTACGAGGTGATATAAAAAAGACCTGGAAAACCCTATCAGAAATTCTGGGAACAAAAAGATATACACGAAATAGCGAAATAAAATTAGCAAAATCAGATGAACCCCAACTCCCACCAACAGAAACAGCAGACAGACTCAATGATTTCTTCTCCACTATAGGACAAAACCTTGCCAATAAAATCCCAAGCTCAGATACCCACCAAATGACTACCTCACCGGCAACTACCCGAACACACTGTTCCTAGCTCCGACTAACCCATACGAAGTCTCCCTTATTATCAACACACTAAAAAACAAGGCAGGAGATTTAAATACCTTACCACCCTTTATATACAAAAAGTGTCACAAGTGCTATCACCAATCATTGCAACACTCTTTAACAAATCCATTGAATCCTCCACCTTCCCTACAGTACTCAAAATAGCAAGGGTCACCCCGATCCACAAAGGAGGAGACCAAACAGAGTTGAATAACTATAGGCCAATATCCAACTTACACCCCTCTCAAAAATCTTCGAAAAAATTAATTCATAAACGAATCTACTCCTACTTATCTCCCAAAACATACTCAACCCCTGCCAATTTGGATTCAGGCCTAATAAAAATACTATGATGCTATTATACACATGCTAGAACATATATACACTGCAATAGAGAAAAAAGAAGTCCCACTGGGGATCTTCATTGACTTACGTAAAGCTTTTGATACAGTTGACCATGACTTGCTCCACGTAAAATTGTCACACTATGGTATAAGAGGGCACTCCCTCAACTACCTCAAGTCATACTCAGCAACAGAAGCCAATATGTGTACGCAAAATGGGGCAAACTCTTCTGCACAAACAAATTACAGTTGGTGTCCCACAGGGAAGTGTCCTTGGCCCTCTTCTCTTTCTCTATACATAAATGACCTACCAAATGCTTCGCAATTACTCAAACCCACACTATTTGGAGATGACACTACATACGTCTTCTCCCACCGAGCCCAGTCACGCTAGCCAATACTGTAAATACTGAATTACAGAAAATATCTACCTGGATGAGGACTAACAAACTTACACTAAACATTGACAAAACCTACTTCATTCAGTTTGGTAACAGAGCTACAGATGTCCCTCTTAACATAATGATAAACGGATCACCTATCACAAAGCTAACAGAGGGAAAATTCTTAGGAATCCACCTTGATAATAGACTCAAATTTCATACACATATACAACAAATTTCTAAGAAAATTTCCAAGACTGTAGGCATACTATCGAAGATACGGTACTATGCTCCAGTCAGCCCTCCTGGCCCTATATCACTCTCTTATTTACCCCTATCTCACCTATGGAATTTGTGCATGGGGCTCAACAACAAGTAACCATCTCAGACCACTAATTACCCAACAAAAGGCTGCAGTTAGAATGATAACAAATTCTCACTACAGGCAGCACACTCCACCAATATTCAATACACTCAACCTACTCACCATACAAAACATCCATACTTATTACTGCACCTATTACATACATAGAACACTTAACTCTGATATTAACCCTCCCCTCAAACATCTCCTTGCCAACCTCAACAGAACACATGACCATAACACAAGGCACAGATCACTCTTTGATGTTCCTCGTGTCCATCTCACGCTATGCAAAAACTCAATGCACATAAAAGGCCCTAAAATCTGGAATTCATTACCTGTAAATATAAAAGAAACACTACCTGTTTATAAATTCAAGTCTCTTCTCAAAGATCACTTACTTACCCAAAACCAAATAAATACTGAATAACTGAACCTTATAAATTGTATATCTTAATGTTTCTCACAATTATATCACATAAATGTTAAATCTAAAACCCAATCTAACTTTATTATTTTTTAAATACACTACCTAACAGAATACTCCATTCTACTGAATGTACAGCAATGCATGCAACCATATGACCTGTCTTTGTAATACTCACTTGTGCTTTATAGTAATCTGTTTACATTAATGTTTTATCACTGATTTCATCATTGCTTAGTTAATCTTAAGTTAATTTTAAGCCAGCCCGTAATGCTATGCATAGTATAAGTGGCTTT